TTCTTTCTTTCTTTCTTTCTTTCTTTCTTTCTTTCTTTCTTTCTTTTTGGCTGACTTCACCCCTTTTCTCCCTTTCCAGAGGGTCCTATAAAGAACAGAACTAAGGAAAGGGAAGGTGTGATGAAGCTTAGACAATAATGTTATTTTAAAGTTTGACTGCAACAGCTCCCTCAAAACAGACATTCTGCAACTTTAGTGCCTGCTGTCTTGGCCTTTTCTTTCTCTCCTCTTTGACTGGCAGTTCCTTACATCAGCTTTTCACCTGTATTCTTCTGCTTTCTGGTAGAGACTTTCCTAGCACAGCAATGGTAAGCAGCGGCACCAATTCAGATATTTCTTGGGGCAAGGAGGCAAATTCTGACTGCCCAGCCCCCCAGCAGCAACCCCGTTCCAGTCTCCACTCAGCCTCCTCCCACTCCCATAGGGACCACGGGTCTCCCTCGGCTGAGGAGTCTCCCCTCTTGCTTACCACACAGTGCGTGAGCTGGTGCTGCCTGGAGTCAAGTTCACAATGGACTCTCCTGTGCTCTGTAATATATTGTCTGGACAGAGGGGTAGCTGGGCCAGATTTGAGTGGTGTTGCAACCCCATGCTCCAGGTCACAACACTGCTCCATGAAATTTGGCCAAGCCACCATTCTATATGGATAGATGTGTGGCCAGGTCCAATTTCAGTAGTATTGAAAACACACAGCTGGAGTAATGCTCCAGACTCTGACAGAGTATTGATTTAGTATGAGACCACTGCTTAAAACTTTGAGCAAGTGCAAAACCTTTTTTTTTTTTTGGTGGTGGTGGGCGGGCTAATGGTACCACTGATGGTAGGACGTCTTTCTGTACTGGAGAATAGGCTTTATTCTGCTCATAACCAATTTCTTTGTCACTTTGGCATACGTTTCCACCATAGCTTAGGGAAGCATCCTGGACTAATAGATAGAACACTGGATGGAGAGCCAGAAGACCTGGGTTCTCTTTCTGACTCTACCACTGCTGGGTGACTTTGGACAAGTCACTTCACATCTCTATGCTTGTTTCCCTTTGTCTGTCCTGTCTATTTATTTTGGAAGTGTCCTCAGCCCCTCCCATGAGCTTTTCCTATCCAAGGGCATAGTCTAGAGTATTATTATTTTTATGTAATAATTTCATACATAGTATTTTAGACCCTTTCAGGACATACAAGAAGACAGTTTTTTGCTCCAAGACATTTAAATTCAAAGCCCCTGGTCCTGCCATTTGATGCACATGAGCAGACCCCTGCACCTGTGCTGAGTTGCACTGGCTTCAGCGGGTCTCTATGAAGGCACAGGGGGTTGTCTACATACATCTTACAGGAGGATCAGAGACTAACCAGACAACATACAGAAGAAGGGATGGGGACAAGTGGAGAAAAAGGCTAAAAACCAAATGATTGATGTGGGGTTCTTTATACCAAAGACTTTGTTGATATGTGCAGTGTTTGTTCCTTAACTCTTGTTAAGGTTCTTAACTCTTGTTAATATTTGTTAAGGTTGTTTGGCACCTTTTATTATTTAGGTGTTATTTGGGGGTTGGGGGGGGGAGAAGGGATTAAATCATGCCCTCAGTTAACATCACTCTATAAACCCTATAGCTTTTCTCATTTCTTGCTTTTTGAGTCTTTAATATTACACAATTTATATGGAGGAAAGGATAATCTTAAAAGTACAGGATGTCCTTGGTTTAAGGCACAGACCTAGCACTCAGAAGATCTACTCAGCTCTACTCAGCCTTTCTGCGTGGTAATAGGTCAGTTTTTAAACTGGAGATAATACCTAGTATCCTGGTGGGTGGCTGTTGTAAGGCTGAACTCAATAAAGTTTGTAAAGTGCTTTGAGATCCTTTGTTATAGAAGTGTCAAGTACTATTATTGTTCTCAGTCACTTCATTCCCTTTCCACCTGCCTCGCCCAAGGACAGTTACTTGTTCAACCCACCCTTCATAGCTATTTTCATCAGCTCCATATCATGACATCAGTGGTTAGTCTAAGAAGACAACACTTTTCAAATCATATGGTCCAAGAAAACATTATGTGCCATTATGATCCTTGATACAAATGCCCTGAAAGTCTGTGAATTTATACTAGGGATGAACTTGGCCCTACCTTGTTACTGTGGTATGTAGAGTATTTGTTTGTCATGTGAAAATACAGGGCTAATACCAGTGGCTTTAAAATATATGTGTAACAAACACCTTTTGCTTTGGGAGAAATTCTGCATCCATTGAAGTCAATGGCAAAACTCTCTGATTTCAGTAGGGCTAGAATTTCACCGTGTGTGTGTATGTATGTGTGTGTCTTTCTAACCTGGTATATGGTATATTCCTCCACTTGAATATTATCCCATAAATACAAGGGTAGCACTTTTATAATGTCACTAGTAGCTAAAAGCCTCAGAATAGACAGACACAGCACAGATGACATCATAGTCTCTGGTATTTAATAATATTCAGAAAATGTATTGTTTCTATGTGGAGCACAGTAAGCAGGTCATCACAGCTCATCTTATATAAACTGCTTTTGTAAGACAAAGAGAACCCGCCATTACATTACATCCCTAGAGTCTGTGGCTTAAAACTTATATGTTGGTCCAATAAATGGCATCAAATTATCTGTCTTATCCTTCTATTGAACGCAGAACACATGCTGCTACGAAACAAAAAGGACATGCATTTATTTTCAAGCATAGGATTTTGGAACCACTTGGGAAGAATATTCTTGATTGAGAACCAAAACATTCCATGATGCTTAACAAACCTGCAAATTGAAAAATCAACATCTGCCCTGTGTAGCAACAATAGTAGAAGGACCTATAGCCTGAAAAATTCAAAATATTCCTTAAATTATATTTTTGTGCATTTACAAAATTACTACTCTCTGAATCAAAAGTCTCAAGCTGTTTTTATCTGAGAGCATATGTTGTGTCGATAGACAATATCTCAGCCTGTAGTCGTACATGAAAAGCCCTGCTGCATAGCATAATGGACAGTCCTGCGAACAAGAAGCTGCATCTCAGTGAATGCTCCTATAATAATATTTTAAAATAAATGATATGCATCATTAAATCACTGAGGATGACTAACTCAATTTTAGAAAAACCACAACTCCTGCAATCACAGTTGCAGTTCTTATTTGAATATTTTAGATTTTACCTGGGCAGCCAATAGAAGCTAGTGAAGCCATACTCTGCTTCATACAGATGAAGGCACTACTCTGAAAGAAACAGGAAGGAACCTGTGATTATGTAGATACAGTAGCGTGGGCTAGATGTTTTTTTTTTTTTGTCATTTTTCTTATTTACATATCACAGGCGTTTCTTTACGAAGTTATTTTAAATAATTTATTAGATTGATCTCTTCAAAATTCTACCAAGGCTAGGGAAAAAAAAATGTCTTCTAAACTTATTTAAAGGTTTGTGCTCAAGCAGGGCATTTACCTGCCTCACTGCTGATGTTCTAAAAATACCTCCATGTCCATACTATTATCCATTCTTCACGTCCAATTGCTCTGTTATGGTAATAGTCAGAAGCACACCATGTAGTAATTACTTACAGCTGACTTAAGAAAAGAATATTCAACTCCCCCACTGTTCCATGAGAAGGTCTTTATGCACTATTAACTCATTCCTGTTTATTAATACTCTACTGGTAATTCTGGCTGCTGCTTTTTAGGTTTGTAATAGGAGGACTATTAAACAGCAATTATTGACCATATGGGTTGGTGAATATTTGTTTGTTTTTTTTTTTTTTATTATTAATCCTTTTAACTTCTTTTTAAGGAAGCCATATTACAACACAGTAAAAATGGCATTTCATCTGCCTGGGACTAAGAACCTTGGCAGTACTTCCCATTTAGAAAATTCAGATATATCAGAAGAAGCTGCAGAAATACAGAACAATTTAGAAAACATGAAAATCCTAAGAGGGAGGTACAGGGAAAACCTTTGTCTTCATTTTATGGCTGTGGGCATTTTGTTTTTTTTAGTTTTTCTCTGCCTTTTATTTTTTTTAAGATAAATAGAAATCTGAGTTTTTTTACTCATTACATCTGTTCTAGAATTTCCAAATTTTAAACTAATAAAACCCAAGCTAGAAAAAGTGCAAAATTATCAGACTTCTGGGTATTAGGCAGCTGCCTTTGTGAATGAGTCTGCCTAGTGAAAGGGTTCAGGAGGGACAAAATTATAGTAATTATGTCTCAAATAGCTGGGCTGGGGGAAAGTGGGTCTTTTTTACTGCAGTTCTTGCCTTTGGCCAGTAGCAGCAGTTATTCCTTCTGTAGTTTCCAGCATTTGCCTCTGTGCTTCTCCGGCTGTTCTTCACTCCTTCACTTCCCAACTTTCCAGAGATAGGGAGGTAGCCAGCTGTAGTCCAGTCAACTCTCTCACAGTTGGTGCTTCTCTCTTTTGCTGCCCCCCCAGGATGATGGAGAGAAGAGGAGCCAGCTGGGTTGGAAAGGAAGTGGTAACTATAAAGAGGGTGAAGCAGAGGAAGGAGGGAAAGGGGAGCCTTAAAGGGGATGGATGAAAAGGGATGGGCCTACAGTGAGAGAGTGGAAGGGGGAAGCTTGAGATGGGTAGCAAGAAAGAAAGAAGGGAGATACATCCATCAGAGGTACCAGAGAAGAGCGCCCAACATTAAACACATTTGCTGTGGTGGGTATTTGTGGGGAATTTATGGGCTATGTAGAGCCCCTATACACCACTTCTGACAAGATGGTGACACTGCAGTTGAGACTGAGATTATTTAGAAGTTGAGAGAGGGCCTGGCAGCAGCAAATGAGGGATGGCATGGAGGAAGAAAGAGCCAGATGCAAAGGACAAAGTACATCACCAACCTCCCAATCTTGTAAATTGCTCTATATGAGTGGACCCCTGTGCCCATGCGGAGCCCCACTGAAGGCAAGAAGGAAAGTCATATTTTCAAGATGAAATAGTTTCAAAGGCAATTTCCTCAATTCTTCACTGACCCTATTTTTTCTCCTAGCAGAACATTTTCTTAGGGCTTGTCTTTACTACCGGGAGATCGACACTTCTACAATCGATGCAGCGGGTGACGATTTCGCGGGTCTAATGAAAACCCACTAAATCGATGGCAGAGCACTCTCTGGTTGACTCTGGTACTCCAGCTCCTCGGGAACAGTAAGGTAAGTCGAGCAGAAAGCGTGTCCCGTTGACGCAGCACAGTGAGGATACTAGGGTAATTCATGTAGCTGGAGTAGTGTAACATAGCTCAACTTTACCCCGGTAGTCTAGACAAGGCCGTGATCTCTTAATACTATTCCCAAAGTTTGGTAGAAGTTCTCATACCTGTGTGTGTTTGGCTTGGATTATGATTCTTTGCCATATCATTCTGGTCTCCTGAGCTGATGACCCAAACCAACTCAATATAGGAAAAAAAACCAGAGGGCATAGTTGTTTCTGATCATCATTACATCATACATTTTCCAAAACTAAAATAACTAGTGTCAAAATAAAAAGTTTAATAGATTAAAAAAAGGTCAATTTTGAATCTGTTGTTGTTTCACTGCCAATGAAACAATCTATTGTTTTCCTATTATAAATTTGCATCTGTCATTGTTTTATGAGTTAAAAATGCTTTTTTTGGTATCTCAGCTAGGTAACATGCAGAATAACTTAGAAAATAAATTAGAAAGCCTTTTAGATGTGATGTCAGCTCTGAAACTGCTTCTAACCTAAATTGTAATGTAGATGAGTTAAATTGTCAACGTTTACCTCTAGTCTTGTCAAGATACAGAGATGTTTTAGTGTGATCAAATAGATTTCAGGGAAGTGTGGACTTACACAAAGCCATGCTAAAAATAATTACTGGGGGTAAAAAATAAAATCTGTCTAGTCTCTATGCTATTAAAGCAGGATAATTTTTTTTTAATTCAGCCTGGGTCTATGATAGCAGAACACCAACCTGTTGTTCACATTAAAAATAACAGTTTTGTGAAACCTGTGCATTCCTTTGTTCTCTGTTGCTGCCTGGATCTACATTGCAAAATCAGTGCGTGGCCCGAATGGCTGTTATGCCAGAAGTATTACCTTCTCAAGCAGTTATTCCTCTGAAGTGGTATATCTCATCATAACACCAGTGTTCCACAGCATGCACTGCCTGCCTGATGGATTCTGTGTGCAGTTTAAGATGCTGTGTTTTGGTCTATAACACCCTAAGTGGCTTGGACCTGCCTCTCCCCAGGTGAAATCCTGGCCACACTGAAGTCAATGGAAGATTGCTATTGACCTCAGTGGAGGTGTTTGAGCTGGAGCTCCCTTGCTGTAGAAAATAGAGATCTGGCAGAAAGGTTAGGACTCCTTGATTAGGGAACTTGCTCCACTCTGGCTCTGAAAGAGCCTGGATTTCTTGGGCTTAGCAGAGTGCTTTAAATATAATCTATTTTGTAGTGCTTTTGGGGAGGGCTGAGGGTATGAGTGTAGGGGTGCATGTTTTGCTGTTTTGAGACAGTTGTTAGTTAAGCGAAGTGAATGGAGCCTCTGCCATGTTAATGGGTGGTTCTTCCTTGTAGCGGATGGTGTTTAAAATCTTTGTTTGGATGGATAGATGTCATTTCAGTTTCTAAATGAATAAATGGAAATCTGGAGTGAACTAGCCCATGAGGTACTCTACTGCTTCAGCAAGCCCCAGAGTGCAGGCCACATGCAAAATTTACATTCAGATTGGTGTCAGAGCCTATCAAAGAGACTGTCACACTGCTGGGCTTAGGTGCTTAATGCCATACATTGTAGGTTTCTGTGGCGGGGGCCTTATTCCCAAACCCAAAACAAGATTTTGGTTCATTTCAATTAAATGGTCCGTTCCCTCCTCCCTAATTTGAACCTGGCCCAAAACATTCAACAGTATTCTTTAAAAGACACTGGGAAATTATATTTTTGCAAGATAAAATTACAGCAGATAAATGACAGTGTCACTGACATGTTACTTAATCACGTTGGTAGATTAGTTGCATGTAGTATTCTAAGTGAAACTGTAGGGTAGCACCAAGCCTTGCCCATGCCAAAGGAAAACTGGTGTGCTCGTGATCAGCTGTTCTGGTTGTTGCAGGGAAGAGATTAGAGCAGTGCTTCTTTGTCAGTTCATCTCTTTAACTAATAATGTATTATTTATTACAAGGCTTTAGTTTCTTAAATCTGTCTTCTTTTTTCTTTTAAAGATATCGCTTACTGTTTGATCTATCGTCTGCAAATGTATACAGGGGCTGCAGCACAAGCTACATTTTTTAATGTCATCCAGTTTTATCTAATTCTGCATTTTATGTTCTCAGGGCTGGTTCAAGCACATCTGGGGTCCCCTGCAGCCCAGCACATCAGGGGCCTTCCACTTCTGTCATCATTTATTTTTCCCTTCCCCTGTATAACCAGACATAAAGGATTAGTGTGAAATTAAAACTCAGATCTATGTAAAAATGCTGCAGCTCACCTAGGCTTTTAGTATTTTGCGACACACACACACACACACACACACACACACACACACACACAACTTCACCCTTACCGAGTCTGCTTGCCACACAAGCCCAGTCTCCTTCGCTGCCCTCCCCACACACAGCACCCAATCTCCATCACTCTCAGTGCACTCAATGTACAGATTACTGTCTCTTCAGGAACCAGACCCTTTCACCCTCTTCCCACAGGACTAGGTTTGGAAGACGAGCAGGAGCAGCCCTCGGAGATCTCTTTCCAGATCTCCTCCTTGTATCCCAGGGTTTCTTGTCTTCCTCTTGGTCATATGCAAGGAAAGTGCTCTTCTTTCCTGTACCTGTCCCAGGGAGTGAGGCAAGCTGGGAGTTCAGCCAGCTGCCAGGGAGCCAGCATTTAGTGCAGGCCCCAGATGTGTTTTTCTCCTTTCTCTTTGGGGGCCCAGGGTAAGCGCCTCCCTGCCAGCTGGTGACATGCTGGAGAAGGAGAAGACATGCTGGAGAGGGAGAAGACAGAGTGGGGAATTCAGGCTATTCAGCAATGCATCCAGATAAAGACTGTTTCCTCCTGGCAGGTAGTGGTGGAGGCCTGACTGCAAGGCAGAGAGGGGTGCTTCTCTCATGTTCCTAGTCTGCTGTTTTTGAAGGAGGAGGGAGAACTGGAAGAAGCTGCCACAGTGAGATCCCAACCGGAAATGTCAGGTCCGACAGCCTGTCATAAACTAGCCAATCCAAAAACAGTTTTTAATGCCAGCTACAAAATATAAGCAACTTTTTCATGGCATTTTTGTCTTCTGTGTGATTTTGCATATCAGAAGTGATGTGTCCAAGGAAGCAGACAAAATAAGAACATATTTCCATCAGAAGTACAGATCAGAGTGAGTCAGAGTGAATGGAATAGGATGGGAAAGAAGGGAATTGTGTATCCTCTACAACTGCTGCCCTGTATTCTGGGCACCAAGTCTGCATATTTGAATCTAGAATGCTGTATTCTGTGTATATAAGATTTTTGAACTATAGATGTACAATCCTTTTTCATGCAATAGCACACTTATAGAGTGAGAGTGAAATAAGCACTGAATATGTGACCTGCAAGGGAAATGGAGGATTTCAGTTTATGTGGCAAAAATTGTGGAAGGAAAAAGGCACTTTTTAAAATTGATCTACCCATCCTGTGCTAAATATCCAAATGTTCTGTGGGATAACTGTAACTCCTAGTGATGGCCTTTAAAACATAGTCAGTATTGGATCTGTGGGTCTCCTTTAAAGAGGTTTGTTTGGGAAGATCTACTACTTTCTCTCATTCCCTTGTCATTTGACTCTGCCCTCATCAGTGCTATTACTGTTCTGACAATCAACAGGGACCGCGGCATGCAGCATTAGATCTGCTCATGGGAGAGCAGGCGAGACAGTGTCTTAAAACTGGGACATCTGGTGGTTCTACTATTAAGCGTAAGTGGAGAGCACTAGTTAAAGTACGGGTTCAGTACTGTTTGGGAATCGCATGACTAAACAGCATTTGGTGGATAGTAAAATGCAGTTGTAAAAAAAAGTCAGTTTTACCACAAAACCACCTTCTCGCCTCCCCCCACCATCCCCCACCAAAAAAACAACAAAATTTCAAGTAGCAAGTGAGCTCATGAAAACAGCAAAATTAAACTGGATTCCAATTAGTAAAGGAATGTCAATGCAAGGCAGAGATAACTTTGGGGGAGCTAGTATTATGTGTGAATTCTTGTATTTGATCATGAATATGTAGGGACAGCCTTTCAATAAAAAGAAAGAGTTCTGGTAGGAAAGGTGGATTGTAAAAACAAAACAAAACCTCCCCCGCCCCCCTCATGCTCTCTCTCATATCGAACAAAAATACTTGCTATGCAGTTTGCAATCTGGACAGCAAAACCAGCATGTCTTTGCTCAATTCTTCTAAATGTAATCTGAGTACATTCCATTAAAAATTAGGTTGTCTCATCACCTGAACTTGAGATAAAAAGTAATAAAGTAAGTATATTAAATGAAAATGTAGTAATTAGACCAAAAGTTGTGTTGGTTCATGAGTATCAGTGAAAGTGCCTTTATATTTACCTCACTGTAACTGGAAAGGCATACTACTATGCTTTAATTTGACCAAACCGTAGTATGCAGCTTGTTATAAGCTCTGCATGACTTTTATTGCCTTGAAGATGAAAGATCTAAAGTTCCTTTATAAACTGACATCCAGTCTTTGCTGACCCACTGAAATAATATTGTACATCACATATGCAAAACGGACAACATATGCAATATTCCTCCAGATTTAGCCACTTTTGTGTGTAAAAGCCAGAACCTGAAACGTGTTTTCATAATTTGTTTAATAGATGCTTAAGTTACTTTAATATGATTGTTTTCTGTGCTCCAAAAGTAGAATTATTTCTTTTATTAGGTCAACATTAAAGATGGAAGTAGGAACATACGGTGGCACCATCTTGTCTCTGCAGCAAACATTGGCTTTAAAATGTTGTGCAAGGAATTAAGAAGAAACCGCACCGAGAGAAAAGTTCAGTGCTTTAGCAGAGAGTAAATGTTCCACTATTCTACATTCCTCTGCAAGTTGCCTATGTCACTTTTAGTCAAGTATTAAACCTCTTTTATTTCACTGAAAGTCTTTTTTAAAACAAATGGACTTGACAAATAGTGTACTTTTGAAATCCTGTTGCAGCAGTTCC